AATCGACACGGCACCTGGAAACACACCAAATTTTCTAAATGTTCCTGAGGCGGAAGCTTTTCGACACATTCTGGGTCGCCCTGTACGAAGAGAGTTCAATAAGCAACGCAGTCGTAACCGCATCCACGTGATCCGAAGCACCATAACTAATTCTCGGTCATGTTTCCAAAACCGTGACACTCTAAATGCTATTTAGCTATGCATTGTTTGGCTGAAACTTCCCTTTAAAAGGCTTGAGCTACTGTTTACGTAACGGGCGCGGCATCGTCATGAGCTCCGTCGATCCACAGCCACGAACAACAGAAATCAATCAGCGATTTCCCCACGCGGATTTTAATAAATGATTGAGTTGCCATACGTTTTGGGGACTTCCCTTCGGCAATTACTGTTTCCCTGGAGCAGGTTATGTAAGTAGGACTTATGAATATGTACACACGCTCAGAGGCGCAGAGGTGATATTTTCAGAGGGGTTTGTGTAGCACTGGCTGATGGACACGTTGTGAACGCGTTTTGTAGTTCTCTGTGTTGCCTAAGCGTCATGAGGCTTCAGTTATCAATGTTTGGCTCTGATGTGATCTAAAATCTGCTTCAGAGATGGCGATACTGGAGGTCTAAGCTGTAAGTTGTATACTATAGCTAGAAGGAAACGGCGATGCATAGGTGCATAGTGTGAATGTGTGTGCTAATAATACGTGTTAATGATAATTCCATTGGATTCTGGATACACTTACTTGAGATTCGAAACTAGGAATTAGTTGCGCATTCACTTTTTCTTATCCATTATGGAAATTACATATGCAAATTTGATGAATTTCAAAAATGAGAGAGCTAAAAAATAATTATATTCACTCTACACTGACGAATTACAAGTCACATACATGCTGACAGCAATTATCCTAAAAGTTGTTGAAGACACAAGAAAACGTAAAAAATCGTAATTTATAACTTGTCTTCAGAAAGGACAACATATAAATACCCGTCGGGCACAGCTAATAGATATACTTCATCAGCAGCATATTCAGTAATTATTTTCTTTCACTGATTTTATACACATGCAGACCAATACACATAATCATCCAGATGCGTGCTTGTTATTCAACCAACTTTCTTCTCTGAGATGAAAACTGCAGACTACTCGGCTCCACAAGACATATGCAACCAACAATGCGTGTAGTTGAGTCATTCCTCCATAGATGAAGAATGCTCACAACGATCCTAGTGAGCGAACGTGGAATGACCGTTTGCACCCTAAAAACTACCTAGTCTGCAATATGACCTTTTATAGGGTTTTTTGACGTTTTATAGGTTTTTTACATAATACCCGTGCGGAATTTGTATGGCGGAATCTTCCAAACGGTCACTGTCAGCGGTTAGAAAGATTGAAGAACGAGAGGCTCTGGTAGAACACTTGAACACTGAAAACATGTTATATCAAGTCCGCCTTTAAGTATTATTGATATTAACAACAACTTGAATTATTCGCGTACTTTTCGATATACAATAATTCCACATTTTATAAACGATTACAGTGCGTGAACTGTGGTATGCATCAAGTCCTACAAAATCAATAATTGATCGCAAAATCAGAGATTAGAGGAAAGCCGTTCTCAAATGACCTTGACCAAGACCATCGAAAAAGTTTTGATTGAACCGGTACTTTTTGAACTTGCCGATGAGAGAACCGGGAAACATTTTATGCTGAGATGACTTTTACCATGGCCTGAAAGTGATTAGGAGTTTCACTAATTTCAGCGTCAAGTTCACATGCGAACAGACTATAACATCCTTGCCAGCTATAGGCCATAAATGTTCACTTTAAATTCTCATTTTGACCTATACAACACTTTGAAAGTCATGGTCATATGCCTTTTGCAAACGTAAGATTTTATCTTCTATCGGTAGAATCAAAAACATGCCATTTATTATCACATACTTTTTAATTTGACTTTTTAATGAGCTTCAAGAAGATGGTGCAGGTGATTTCCGAACTTGAAATTATTCGCTCTTAATCTGGGGTCAAAAAATAGGGTGATTTTCAAGTTGATCTCTAAATAGATTAACTATTAAGTCAAAATTCTGCTTCTTTTACTTTGGTCATTTTTGTGTTTAAGCAAATTTTTTTGACTAAACCCTTTGACCAATATTTTGTGATTTTCAAACCTTCTAACAGAAGTTCCGTTACAACATTGTACACAAGCTTGAAAAGATGGATTTTCTCCAAAAACGGTCTGTCGACACCTCTTTTTTGTTTTATGTTGTGGACCTGTGTTATCGTATGTGTATGATCCGTACAATGAGCATTCATCTAAATGTAAATCGGGATGTGCATGCACCATATTTTAAAATATGTACGCGGCATTGCACATTCATCTATTTTTTAATATGGGATTAACGCATCATCTATTATAGTTTACATTCCCGCACTCCCCAGGATCATCAAAGCCTTATAAGTACCAGGTGATTCACAAAGTTTCTAGGCTCTACATGAAAATATACTGGTTGATCTCCAAAAACACACTTATTTTTCAATATAATAATAATAATAATATTTATTATTCTCGATAAAGAGTACATAATAGTTTACAAACAATAAGCCTTAAGAGAATAAAGGGCTACATCAGCTTGCCGCTTAAAGAAGCAGCTGCTTGAGCCAAAAAAAAAACATAAATTTAAAGAATTCTGTAACAATGCAGATGACTATCAAGACATGACATGAAAGGATGATAATAAAGTTTTGATATCGAAAGAAATATAGCGAAGTAAATAAAGTAATTTAAATTTATAATTTAGAGTGAGACAGAGAAAGTGAGGATAGGGGAAAGAGAAGACGAGAGAAGGGGGAGCAGGAGATATGTTTTCATGATACCTGAGAGAGTAAAGCACTTTCAACGTTCCTCTAAAAAGTAGCCACTGAGAGAAAAATCTTTAATTTTAGATTTATTTACCTAAAAGGCAATTTGATATGAGAATGAGATCTTATGTGATTCTGTATTGTAATCAAATTCAATCTTCTAATGTTTAGATTATGTATATGTGGTAACTATTTTTTTAAAGGGAGCTTTCATATTTTATAATCTTCTACAAAAAAGTAGAGTGCAAGGTACGCCTCTGAGCCATATTCAACCATCCCAGTTCAAGTAGTTTGTGGTATACTCTTTGTCTACCCCTTATACCAAATATCAGTCTCAGACAAGAATTCTGGGCTTTTTGTACCCGTTTCAGTTCCACACTATCAAGAAATGGGCCATATATACCATATCAGCAAAGTGGGATAACGCTAAAGCTTCGCAGAGCGTGGCTTTAGTATTTTGTGATAAGTAATGTCTATGAGAGTTACTTATTTTTAACACTGAATATGCTTTTCTTAGGCACAGAGTAATGTGTTCTCTAAACTTTAGCTTAGAGTCAACCACGCCCAAGTCCTTCACTGAATCCCTAAGTGATATTATATTGTCCCCTAGTTTGGAGTTAATATCATACTTTCCCCAAAATTTCCAGAAGGTTACAATAATACTTTGCTGTTGTAGGTAACCTAACAACAATTAATGTAATAATGTTAAAATCAAGTTATCATTTACAGATTAATCCAGATGTTGTTAAGACTCTTACTGATATTCGTTTTTGATCTAAATGTAACAAATGCGGTGCTCACGTTGCCGATGGCCTTCTAGACGTTAACTCGTTTTTTTATATATGAAACACAAATCCTTAATTTCTGTTCTAAAACTATATCCTGTATAGAATCAACAAATCATCGATGTTTGCAATTGTCGGCGACCCACTCATGCTTGTACAACCACGGTTTAATTGACTAAATCGTTAGAATACTGTTGATCATGGAAGAACATGACTTCTTGATATATTTACTAAATCAGTATAGATCCCATGTACGTTCAGCCCTCCTCTATGCAAGTAGTCAATTAGTGCACAATTAATTAATTTTTCCATTTTCTAAGACAACACTTAGCTACTCCAAGCCGCTGTAAAGAGGAAACTATTTTTCAGATCATCTATAAACTGGGCGTGTATTCATAGGGAGTGTCTAGTAGACCTGAAAATAGTTATGTTTTCTGATACCCGTTGTCTCTTATATGCGAGTCAAGAAGCTTTTCAAATCGCATAATAATAATACTCGTATCTAATAATATATACAGGGGGGCCATTACGTAAAAAAATATATAGAATACAAAAGCGATAAAATAATTCATTTCGCGCTTGCTGCAAGTGAACATGAAGTGACCGACAGCTAGTTCCAAGTTGACGACAATGTCAAAACAAAACGATATAATGTCACTTTTTAAGTTACGTAGTACCCCTTCCGATCATACAGACGATAGCTCTACAGCTTCTGTTCTCCATCTTACGCATATGGTCATACTGATAAGCCTTGAATTATTGAGGGGATGGTGAGCAGAAAATAGATAATCATTCATACCAGAGCCATCTGATAGCATGTTACATGTTTGCTAGCACAAACTGACATGCTCGCGGTTAGCTATCATCATCATCTGATTTGCCTGAACGATAAATGTATACAGTGCTGGCCACAGTCGTTTTCCCTTTTACATTTCCATGTGTACGAGAAACAGAATCGTCTTAGAAAAAGTGCGCCATATAACCGTCATCACCACGTGAGGGAGCAGTTACGCTGCGTTGCACCCTTCCCCACTGTCCTTGCCAGGCAACGTCGTGACGTCACTTATTGGTACGCTATTTGTAACACGCCTCTCTCTCTCTATCGTACGCATGGGAATCTATATAAAAGAAGAAACGACCTTGGCCAGCACTGTGTATTAGTATTTATTTGAGATTTCGATTATCTGAATTCGCCAGAAGTTTATGTTCTAATATCGATATCTTGTTCTTTCCAGGCCGCAGTCACGACAAGTCCTTCAAGCTGTTCCGCTTAGGGGAGCGCTCCTCTGCGGGAGTGAAACTGTTCGCCGAGACCGGCCGGACGGATATCCTGGAGGAGCAGAGTCAAGGAGAGGGGGGCGTGTATGACGAGTTTAACGCTCCTCCCATTTCGCAAGGGGTTGGGCGAACCGAGGCGGAGTTCTTTGTGGACGGCAATCATTCCAGGGTGAGTATATTTTGATAGGGCTGAAAATAAAGGTTAACACATTGGTAAGCCTCTTGTGCTATTCACAGTTCCGGATTTAGTCAGCGTGAGCCCTGGAGCAGATTGTATTAAGGAGCCTAGAGAGATCTTGGGCAGTGAGAGGTGAAAGATGGAATGCTGGAGATTGAGAATTGTGGAGTGGGAGGAGGGTGGTAGTGGCTGCATCAGTGCTTTTAAGAGCGATGGGTATCGGAAATTGAAAACCGAAGAGCGAGGAGAAAAGACTTTCATAAAGCGTTGGTGCGCTGGGCTCGTGGCATTTTCTACTCTTGTTAATTCTCCACTGGTCATTCAAGATAACAATTTTTCCAGGCCATGGCAGGATAGAATTGTAAAAGATTGTACTTAGTTCTTCATCATCAGAAAATACGTTTTTGTGTGATGTATCTACCTAAAACTTAAGGGGGACCTCCTAGCTTAGCTCACACAACTGTGGAGTAAACTTATAAAATCATATGGTTGACGCTCATGCCGCTGCTCTTGATATCATTAAAGCTTTCGAACAGCTGTGACTCTCCGCACTCTTATGCGAACTTCCATCATGTGGTCTCCCAGAAAGGGGCCTCCATTGTAAATAAAGGGTTCTCCTTTTCATTCCACAATGAAAACCCGTATACGGATGTATGGGCATGTGTATCTAGTTTTGTAGTTGCATATGTGCATTCATTTCGGGCCCGATGAAGCCAACCAGCAGAAATACGTATAGCTCGGGTTACCTATCCTATTTTCTGCACGAATCCACTTTCCTCCTTTTTGCGGATTTTGCCCATTATTTTCCTATTTTTTGTTATATACGTCTCCGCATGATTATTTTTCTATATATATACAGGGTGACTTTGAAGTTGAGTCATTAATTTTCAGATAATGATTGTAGAAGGAAGATAAACCAAAATATGTGAGTAAAAATAAAAAAAAATTAAAAAAAAAATTTTACCTTGTTTTATAAAGTATCCTCCCGACAAGTATTTCAGTGCGGACCTGTAATTGATCGTGAGGTCCCCTGTGAGGTCTTAAGTCACCTGATTCACGAGCCCGTTGTACTACATTAACAAAGGCACGAGGGGTTGGTTGCACTCGATTGGGAAACCGATCCGCATAAACATGTGCCATTTTTTATTTTGTTTGAGCCACGCAACAGACACTATTCACACGCGACTGACACTGACTGTATGTATAACTGGACTGAATAACATAATTGTAAAAACATCGTTCCAAATTCCTTCGCTTTTTTGTTTCCGATGCGATGAACCGATAAGGCGGATTATATCCGTTGTTGCCAAACACGAGCACATGATATTATTGAGACAGGGCGGTACTCAATCTTCCAAAGGGCTATAACTTTGTTACTTTAATTTTACCAGAAAAATGGTAAAGGAAAAAAACATTTCTTTTGATCAGATCTACTCACTGTTAAAATAAATGACTCAACTTCGAAGTCACCCTGTATATATATATACAAAATACAATCAATTGTTAATTGGGAAATTGGCAAATTTTTAGGCTTAAGTTGACTCTTTTGACGATAAAATCAAGCTTTCGGCATTCTCTATGGAGCCTTCATCAGGATTTCTTCGTTGAGGTTGCAGCCACAAGGTGTTTCAAAACGAACGTAGAGAATATAGAACTCATAATAAGTATAAAAACAAAGGGACGGAGACATTGGGCTTGTTGATAACGACAGATACCTTCGTTACATGTTAAGAATATCAATACACCCGAACATATTAAAAAGTATTACACGTGAGAAGACATTTTAGTGAAACAAACGAAATGCATTCCATAACCAGTGCAAGTTTTTCAATAATCGCTAGAACAACATGTTATCGTTCAAATGACACCAAATTTATCATTCTGTCACTCTTATGTTCTCAGTTATTACAATTTTCATACACGCACTAGCGTTATCGTAACGTAAAAATAAAAATAGCTGCCATTTCAAGGCGGGTGATGTAGGACATTGTAGGGGATGGATTTGTCGATAAACATAGCTGAAAAATACCCCCCTTAAATATCGGTATGTCGCGACCAAACACATTGTATATATGCTGAAAGAATTGTGACCATCCATAAAAGAAACTCTAAACTAGGTACTCATAGTTCGTCTCAGCACGTAGCAACACCACACAATTCCAAGAATCGCCACTTCGAAAATTTGCGGCCACCATTCGAACGCGGCAATCTGGCTCAATTACGTTCCTTAATTAGGATCGGGTAAACCGATTAAAAAGTAATCTATTTCTGTAGCTGGTGCCGGTAGCTGCAGCTGATCGGTTACACGTTACACGGCACTAGCGAGAAATGGACTTATCGATTGGCACGTCGCCATCGCAATGCCCGTTCGCGATACAGGGCGATCAACAGTCAGTTCGTCAGTTTTCTCGGATATACGATGTACCCAAAATAGTTCAGACATTATCTGACTTTATCTTAAAGTTTGTTTATTTTTTTAAGGTTAGAAAATATTTTTTTCTTTTATAGGTCAATAAAATTTATTGTTTGGACATTGGATATTAACAAAATTACTATCGAGTAATATGATACTAAACTATAAAACTGAACTAATATTGATGACAACATTATTTCAATAGCTCGTTACGTCTCCCTTTGCCTTAATAAGGCTTGCATAGTTTTAACAAGGTTTTCGCAGTCTTCCGCAGTAAAAGAATCCCATATACTTTGTAATTTTACTCGCAGATCAGAAATGTTTTGTTGAGGATCATTTCTCAACTGCTGCATCATTTTGTGCTATACAGTTTTGATAATATTTAAAGCAGGCAATCTATTTTTTCATGGTTTTAGCCACGACACCCCATCTTATTGAAAAATAAAATTTCTATCAGATGATAAAATTCGAATTGACACTAGCAAATTGGTTTCAAGGATATTTTAATATTTATCTGCGTTTACAGTTACGTCTATCAAGTGAAGTTTTCCAACACCAAGAGCAGATATGCTTTCCCATACCGTTAAACCTGATGGAAGCTTTTCTTTTCTCTTTAGGCAGCCTTTATGGAAAGCTTCATTTTTGTTTCTTATAACCCAGGATCGGTGGTAGCCCACTGGATGGTGGTCGATTCATCGCGAAAAACAGATGATTTCTGGTTAAGTTTGCGTTGTTGCTTATCTGTCTCGTGAATATGGAGTTATATGCTACATAAAAAAATCGTAATACGCAAATACTAGAACTTCTATCAAAACGGATGTGTTCCAAATTTCATCCAAATCGGTTCCTAAAATACCAAAAAAAAACGTTTTAAAAGGAAAACTTTGACGCCCTCGAGCGAGCAAACGAAGCACTTTTGCTCAGAGGTGAATCATGTCCAATCGACTTATTCATAGTTTAAAAATCCGTGGTACTTCTATTTCTATGAAATATTAGGATACCCTGTATAAAGCGATCATCATGCCTTGATCTACACAATGAACTCAAAACCCATCACTGAGGAACACCCGCGTTGAGATTGCTCGATGAAGAGTCGAACTCGTCAACCGTTGCGTCTTAGTGTGCAGCACAGTGATCCATTTAAGCGAAAACCTGACATAAATTGAAAAAACGCGGTGTTGAGGATGAATGAAACTTACTACCTATTTTAATGTTACTATAGTTGTAGTCACCATTCTTGGCGCGTCAAAGTAAGCCTACCAGGATCCCTTTATATATCTCCATCTCCCTCATACATACACATGCAACCTACCCCTGTATGTGAACGTTTGTTCGGTAAGACATACGTTTTTTAGTTGTGTCTCCGTCTCGAAAACTTTGTCGTTACGTATGAGTGCCCTTCAATCATATTTGTCAGAGTGACAACTTAATTGGCATCGGCGTGCAATTCGAGTTATCCTATTATCAGTCTTTAACGGGGCTCCTACAATCACGAGCCCCATCTGCTGAGGTAACGGGGGGGGGGTGAATAGGAAACGAGGGTGGGCTGGACCTAGTCGGTCGTCGGCGCTACTTTAAAAGATGAAAGGATGACTGCGGGTGAATACCAAGGTTAATTTTTATAATAACAGAGTCGGATTTCGATTAGCGATCTAGAGCGTAAATCCTTCCCTACTTTGGTACTCAGCAAGTGATCATTTAGTATTTTTCTCCCCTTGTTACTGTTCGTCGATATTGAGTTGTTGAATTGTTGTGCTGTACTCTTGTTGGTGTGATTGTTCTTGAGTGCCTTTTTTATCAACGTTGATAATGGACAATAAAAAGTCATATGCGACCATTTTAATTACAAATGCAGTGAGTTTAATTCATGATGAGGTCAACAATAGTCTGGAACAGTTCAACTCTATAATCGCAAAATACATTTGGGAGTAAGCGAATAAAGTATTGCAAGAAGAGGTCATACCATGGAAGATGTGCTGCAGCTGTAGTGAGCCACAATACCCAGCGGTCTGTCTATGTGGTCCAAATACATTTGCGTTCTAAGCTTAGTCCAACCTCGCTTATCGCTAAGATGGAACAAGGACTCAAACGCAAGAATCTTGGAAAGAAACTCAGCTCAAAGAAAGATGATATAAAAATAACTAACAATTCGGATAGCAATTCCAAAGAAAATGAATAGTTTTATGGCGAATTCTGTCAAAAACCTGACATAAACGACATTGATTTGGTGGTTGCTAAGCAAGAATTTTTAGGAAAAAAAGTGACGACGAGATTTTGCAGATCTAACAAGTCACCAAATCACAGGACTGTACTTTGTGGCGCCTTCATCGGAGGATAAGGTTGACAGCGTCTCGATTTGGTGAAGTTTGTAGAAGAAGGCAGACGACAGGCTTGTGGTTTGTTTATTGATCGCACACATCCACATCCATTCTGGCAGCATCGCCTACATCTACCTATTACAGTAGACAATAAATGTACTTAATCCAAGTATACGCCTACCTGTTTATTGCTTTGCAAAAACTACCTAACTGTTTCCTCTTATTTTGACGG